ATAGATAGATAGATAGATAGATAGATAGATAGATAGATAGATAGATAGATAGCTATGGAAACAACAACAACAACCCCTTCTTCCTTTGACTATTGACTGTTTTCTGGGCAACCATCTTCACCTTTCAGAGATCAGGCTTTTCCAAACGAAGGTACGTAATTGTCCCTTAGTCTCCATGGGATTTTGGTTCCAGGACACCCTCCCTACCAGTGGACAACCGATATCTGACTATGTTTATAAAGTGCTTATGCATGATAGTATTTTATTTCTTATGCTTTTTTATTTACTATATGTTTGTGTGGGGGTGCACACACATAGATCAGGAGACAACTTTGAGGAACTTGTTCTCTCCTTCTTCCATGTGGGACCTGAAAACAACCCACTGAGCTAGCTCACTGTCCTCTCTTCTATTGGCTACACCGTCTCTAGACTCTGTATAATACCTACTACAGGGTCAGTGTCCTGGGAAGAGTTTTTATGCTTTACTATTTGGGGACTAATATCAAGGGAAAGAGTATTACTCAGTGTAAACATTGCTAAAAATATTTTTCTGGGGCTGAGGACATGGCTCTGTGGGTAACTGAGCTTGTTCTGCAAACATGAGGACTTGAGTCTCCAGCACCCATGGAAAACTCTGGACATGCCAGTGCATGCCTGTGACCACAGCACTGGGGGGCAGACACCCGCACATCCTGAGAGCTCACCGGCCAGGCAGCCTCTCCCAGGAGCAAGCTTCTGGTTCAGTGAGCTGCCCTGTGTCATGGCCACGGGGCAGAGAAGGGCAGAGGACACCTACCCAATGTCCTATTCTGGCTGCTGCCTGTGTGCGCCCCCCCCCACACACACACACGCTGCCCCCACAGCCCCACATGCAAATACACAACAGGTGTTTTCAATGTGTGGCTGGGTGACTACATGGGCAAGAAATCCACAGATACGGAGTGCTCACTGTCTGGTACCATTGTTTTTTAATTGTCAAAGGAGATGATGTATTTGATGCGAAACAGTCTATAAGTGGTGGCTATAATTATGATAAGGATTAGTGTTTTCTGCAAGAACGTCCTTACCACTAAATACAGGCTCGAGGGAAGCAAGTGGATCCCGAGATAATAATATAAGACTGAGTCTGTAAATAGTTTAGGGGTTTTTCTTGGGGATTCAGGATCTTTAAGCAAAAGAGAGTGAGTTCTGCACCCCACCTCTTCTCTCTGCAGAGCGTTTGCAGGAGATGCTACCGAGGCAACCTGGCTTCCATCCACAGCTACAGTTTCAACTACCAAATTCAGTGCTTGGCCAGGAAGATCAACCAGGCTTCTGTCTGGATAGGAGGCATTCTCAAGGGCTGGGTAAGTTAGGGTCCAGCTCAGTGGGCAGAGTTCTGTCTCGAGGGCTCGTTTGTTGGCTCAGTGTTCACCTCTGAGAAGAATGAAAGGGTTCAGAATCCTGGTATCATGAAGACATGCCCCAAATGACCTAACTTGCTCCAAGTAAGGCCTGCCTCTTAAAATTTCTATCACCTCCCAGGTCTGTCATGAGTTGGGAACACAGCCTTTAACACAGGGTCTCTGGGGGACACTTCAGATCAAAATTAGAACATGTTACAATACAGATTCCTTTTTACTTCTCTTACCCTTTCCTAGAGTTGGGATGTCCTGTGTGTTCTGTGTACACCTAGTGTGGAGACCATAGGGTAACCTCAGGAGTCATTCCTCAGGAGCTATCTAGCTTATTATTTTAAGACAGTCTGTCACTGGGACCTGATGCTCTCTGACCAGCTGGAGTGGCTAGCCATGAATCCCAAGGATTCCTTTTATCTCTGCTTCCCCAACAATGACACTACAAATGTGAACCAACATACCTGGCCTTTTAATGTGGCTTGAAGTAGAGACTGAACTGAGCTATCTCCCCCGTCCCCGGGGATGGGTTTTCAAAACATGTGGTCATAGAAACCTGAAACGAGGAGACAGATTCCAGGAGACTGACTCAGGACTCAGTTGTTTACTGCTAAGGGGTTTTCTCAGACTCTTGTTATTTACCCTGTAAAAGGGGGTTTTACCTCCCTAGGAGCAGTCCTGATGTTGTGGATGAAGGAGTTAAATGTAGCTCTGAAGGAGTGGTCCACGAGCCAGCACCTTCAGCAACACCTGGCAGCTTGTTAGAGATGCAGAGTCCTGGGCTCCAGGCTTGACCTCCTGAATCTGAGCCTACTTGTTAGCAAGATCTCCACAGGACAGGGGAAGCCTGCTCTAGATCATCCGGGAGCAATGGTCATTTTCCCTCACATCCTTTGCCAGCCCTGAGTGACGGATGGTTAGAACAGTCAGCTTCTGGCCAGCCAGACAGTGAGAGGAGTCAGCAGTGGCTTGGATCTTCCCGCCTCTTTCGGGTTTTCTGATCCACTTTCTCTCTTCTCTAGTTCTTCTGGAAGAAGTTTCGCTGGACTGATGGCAGCTGCTGGGATTTTGGATTCTGGGCCCCAGGGCAGCCTGGGAATGGGGGAGGACACTGTGTGACTCTAAGTACCAAAGGTGAGAGGCATGGGCTCCAGACAAGGAGATGCATTGATAAAGTAGAATTTTAGCGGCTGTTCCTTTGCACTGCCTGGACACACCTCTTCAAACCTACTCCCTCCACATGGAGAGTGCAGCCTTCGTCTGTGGGGAGGGCCAAGGTGTAAGGACATAAGGACTTCTCGGGGCATGCTTACCAGAGGAAGCAGCTGCGGGCCTTTTACCTCCTCTGATACGGGGTTGACGAACTTGAATGACATGATCGACGGGCCAGCAGATGTGAATGGAAGGTGTGGATGTAGGACTAGGTAATGGCTGAGACAAGACCCTAGCTGCTAGCAGCAGAGGTGGGGCACTTTAGTGTAGTGGCTGAAACCATGCAAGCTGGAGCGAGATGGCTGAGTCACAGGTCAGCCCTGCTACCTCAAGATGGCCGAGTCACAGGTCAGCCTTGCTACCTACCGACCAGCTATGATATAGCAAGTTACTGCCACAAAGTCTGTTTCCTCCTCTGGAGATGGTGACAGCCATGGAAGGGGCTGTAAAGGAACCCGACGGGGTTGGGGGGTGAGGGGGTGGAGCTCAGAGCAGACCTCAGCCAGCTTAAACCACTGTGTTCTCTGCTGCAGGGGGCCGTTGGCGAAGAGCTTCATGCAAAAGCTGCCTGCCTTTCATCTGCTCCTTCTAAGATGGAGCCAGAGCCTGCCCTGGAACCTCCTGCCTTCACAGCCCTGGCTGCTTGCACCCCATCCTTCTCTCCGTTCTGTCCCAGCCTCTCCTGGCCATAAAGTCAGGTTTCCCACAGCATCCCCTAAGTCGTGTTTCTTCATTGCCCTTTCTGAGAGACCCCTGGAAGTAAGAGACGGTAGGGTGCAGCAGCCTGATACAGGTGGGGAGCAGTGGCAGGGTTTGGGGAAGGGTGCAAGGGCAGCTCTGGTGACCTGGAAGCAGTCCCTTCTTCACGGGCCTTGGACTCCACCTCCTTACCCTGTGACAGCAGAGCAGAGAAGAGCCTATCGGGAGGGGAGGCGCTCCACCGTTTGCTTGGTCTCATTATGAGGTGGAAGTTGAGTGGCTTTCCAACACAGACTTGAAGGGACTTATTCAAGAGCCGGTGTGCGATGCTGAAATGGAACATGCGGCCACCACTGGGGCATGGAGCAAAAGCTCTCTTTCAGGGCAGGCTGTCCTCTAGTGCTATGCTTTTGGGCATCCAGCAGTGACTCCCATTTCCCATTCTCCCATCCCCGTCTTGGTAGTCACACGAGGGAGACTGTCCTCTCCTCCTTTACCCCCACTCTTTCTGTAGAGAGGCCACAAATTTCAGGGGATCCGTCCCCCACCAAAGGCAAGAGACCAGCACACCATAGGCCCCACTCCCAGCTCTATCGTCTCGGGCCTCAGCATCCCTCAGCTGTCTCAGACCTGGAGAGGCTGAGAGCTAGTATCATTGTGACCGTTAACTTTGTGCCAGCTGGGACACTGGGCTAGAAGGAGCTTACAAAAAGGATTTAGAATAGACCAAAGCAGAAGCTCAGAGCTGAGACTGAGCATTAAAGGACATAGAGAGCCTCAGTTTGCGGTGTGTGATGGTGGAAGAATTTCGCAAGTATGCACACAGGCTTTCGTGTATGCATAGAGGTGCGTGTCTGTGTGAACGCATGTTTGTGCTGTGTGGTGTGCTCACTTTCGCCCCTCTGCGTATTTATGGATATTTGTCTCTGGACGTGCTTGTGTGACTTTGCACCCTTATGTGCCTGAGACCCTGTGCGCACACTTACGTTCACTTGTGTTTTTAGCCACATGTATGTCGGCGTGTCCGTGTGTGACTATGTGCAGGTTTCTGTTTGTGTGTGTATCTGCTGCCACATGGCTTCGGAAGCAGAACCCCCTCAGTATCCCACATATTCCATCTCTAAGGCTGCTGGGTTTGAGGGAACAGGACAGGGACGAGGTAGTCCTCGACAGTGGTTAGGGAGAAGCAGGAAGATAAGCCTGTGAATGTGGAGGTCTTTGGCCGTGGAGGAACAGGCCCTGGCGCCCACGGCACTGCACTGGTGCTGGACCCACAGGTTCTGTCTTGGTAGAGGAATCTTTGACTCAGCTTTTCCTCTTGGCGTAGAATCCTGTCAGTTGGTAGTACCGCTTAGGAGTGAGGCGCCAGGTAGACACCACTGAGCCCTGCCGTAAGTGCACTCTTGACTCCGTGCTTCTAAATAGACAGTGGGATTGTTGCAGGGCGTGGGAAGATGAGCAGTGAGAAAGGCGCTTCAGGGGTACACCAAGCTCCCGATGTGTTCATTAGCTCTTCCCCACCTCCTCCCCTTCCCTGACAGGAAATGGCCTCTAACCAAATAGCCCAACACTCAGATGGCCAAAACTATAGCAGAGGTGTGTGTGTGTGTGTGTGTGTGTGTGTGTGTGTGTGTTTGAGAGAGAGAGAAAGAGAGAGAGAGAGAGAGAGAGAGAGAGAGAGAGAACAAACCCCTTCTTGGCTTAAGCCTCCTTTGGACAGACCTAGGCTAGTGAAACACTCCTCAAATCTCTGGCACTGCTTTTGAGTATCTTGTGCTGCCCTTGCAAAGTAACCACACTGGCTGTTTAAAGCCTTCTGCTCTTGCTTAGTTCTTGATTAAAAGGGAAATTATCTTGAGAAAAGACATTCCACAGACCCTTATCAATTACCATCCCCAGGAGGTTGACTGGTGACTAGCTGAGAACACAGCATTCTGAGGAGGAACACAGCTGGGAAGGGTGTGAGCCAGCAGAACAGGGCGTGGATCTGTGGGAGAAGGGGAGCAGACTGCTGTGTCCACTGTCTTCATGTCCTAGACTCTCAAGAGGACATCGTTGGTATTCCTCCAGTGAGGCGGCCCTGTGGTGTGTCTCTGCTTTTAGCTAGAGTGGGCACCAGATAATTCTGAGGATTCTGCAGCTCTTGGCTTCCCTGCCACTGGAGACTGTGTGTCGTCCTGCCTAGCTGCTCCACTTAGATCACAGTTACTGCCGCAAGACCAGGTAGAGATAGAACATCATGAGCCAACAATTTTTCCTGACTTTCTCCCAATAGAAGTCAACATCTCACACCCAGCATCACAAATCTCTGGGCTCAAGTCAGTTCTACTTCCTTTCCTTAATTTTACCCAGCCTCAGTTTCTTTGGTAAAATGAAGATTGAATTAAGCAACGTCTGCCATAGTTTTAGCCCCCAGCTTTCAATGGTGAGCCACCCCACCACTGAATGACAGCTTGTGTGCAAAGCAACGTGGCCTTGAGGGGTTCCACCTCTAGCTCTAAGAACTGTCTATTTGTCTTTCTACCAAATGAGATAATAACAAACCGAAGAAACCTCCCCAGGTGTGGTCAGGGCCTGTATGATCGTGTTGGTGCCGGTGCCGAGTAAACCACAGTGCATCAGATACAAGCTGCTGTTGTAATTTCTACTACCAGCCTACATCTACACACAGAAGGGGACTTGGTTCAGAAGGGGAGTACAGCATGGGGTTTACACACTTGCTGAAGGCCCCACAGAGGCTCAGACACCTGGCAGAGGGTTACCCTAGTCTGGGGTAGAGGGCCCTCCCAGGACACTGTGTCTCCAACTTCTCCTAGGATGATGAGCTCAGCCTCAGCCCAGGAGGGCCTGTGTGCCTCCTTCTCAGAGGCTGTGCTGGTTCCTGATGTCTCTGCTGGAGAGATGAAGCTGGCCAGGTCTCTGGATACGCCCAGGACCTGACGCTAGTACCGGAGAGACAGTCTGCCATTGCCATAATGCAAGGGCTGAGAGCAAGCAGAGTGATGAAGCTGGTCAGAAGACTTTTATCCCTTCTCCCCCTGGGGTGGGGAATCACTGGGGTTCAGTCTGTGTGAGCATTCCTGTGGAAGCCTCCCCAAAGTACCCCTAGACTACCCCTTCCCCACATCTCTCTGTACCTTCTGCTGAGGGGCCAGCCCTCTGTTCTCATGCATGCTCAACTCTACTGAGACCTCATCATCACGCCCATGTTCCCAGAGGAAGATTGACCCTGACACTAATGAAAATTATACCTCAGGCACACTCGGTTTGCATGAACCTTTCTGACACCTAATCATATATTCTTTTTAAAGAGATGCCCCCAGCTGGGCAATGGCACTCGCCTGTAAATCCCAATACTGGGGAAAGGTTAACGGAGGAGAACTGTAAATTTGAGGCCAGCCAGGACTATGTAGCAAAGTCTCTCCATCAAAACCAACTAATCAACCAAACAACCAAAAAACAAACAAACAAACAAAAAACAAAAGCAAAAACAAAACAAGCAAACAAAAAAAATCCTCTCAAGTTGCTTCTTCCTCAAACCTTGGTCTGTCCTTGAGCTTCGTCCTGTGTGATTTAGGGCTTCCTCTCCCTCGCCCCTTTTCTTTAAAAGCCCAGAAAGGAGATGGACATCTGGGCCAATGGAGACAAGGTAGACTTGACACCTCTCTGAAACACAGGGCACCTGTGTTCCCTCTTGGGCCCTCACTATGGCACAAGGTAAGTCATTTTTCATGTCTGGCCTCGGTGTTAGTGATCTGTAAGCGAGAGGGTTGTGTGCGATGGTTTCTGAGGCTCTTTTAGCTTCTAACTGATCACTGTTAGGATCCAGTGAGAACGGGTCTGGCTGAGCTGGGTAGCGGATTTCACTCTGATGCCCGCTTCTTTGCTGAGACACTTCCATGGCTCCCAGGCTGGCCTCAAACTTACTGTGTTGCCAAGAAAGAACTTATGCTTTTGATAAGCATAAGTTTATGTGTGTCTACTTCCTGAGTGCCTGGGTGTCACCACCATGCCTGGTTTATGCAGGGCTGGAGCTTGGCCCTCCTGGCTTTTCCAGCAATGTGGGTTGTTTGTGTCGGTTGCCTTTCCCCGTTCTCCATCAACAGGGAGCTTTCTCGGGAGTGCAGGCCCCGAGTTAGGGGAGCCCAGTGAGATGGAGTATAAACGCTCATTTCTGACCTGGCCACGTCCAGCTTCAGGAGGAAGCAGGGAAAATGCACTGACAGTCATACCTCCTATTTCCTGCCGAAGTTCCTGTCGACCTAATCATGAGAGGGCAGGAAATTGACACAAAAGAACAGACACCTAGGAAGCTTATTCTTCCAAGAGGTATGGGGGCAAAATGTGTAACTTTCACTTCCTGGCTGTGTGGCCTGGGGCAAATGTCTCCTGAGCTTTTGCTTCTCTTCAAAACAAAAACCTCAACTCTACCCGATGGGATTGTTTGAGGGGCTCAATGAGATGATGTGTGACAGTGCCTGGTGTGGGTGTAGCCTTGTTTACCATGTTCTCTCCTTTGGAAAGGGATGGATGCTGCTGTCCCAGGACCCTGGGAAGCAGAGGGGAGGCATGCAAGGGGTGAAGGCAAGATTCAGGTCCTAGCAGGAAGCACTGCCCATCTGCTGAACAGTGAGGGCCTAGATACTTGGCTGTGGCCTTTGGGGTGAGCAGCAGAAATGAGAGCCTCTCTTCTCCCCCATCCCACCCCTGTCTGCCCAAACACAGCGGCCCGCTGAAGGTTCTGCAGCCTCAGGGTGCGCCTGAGACCCTTGGAAGAGGCCCTAGTGGCCGATGGAGTAGGCCCCTGAGTCTGTGGACTGCTTCTCCACCGTGGCCTGGTCACTGGAAAACACTGGGTTGGTTGAGGCAGTGCCCCTCAGTGTTGTCTCGTTC